CGATCCTGTAGAAAAGGGAGACAACAAGCCAGATGATGTGAAGGATGACGATTGGAAAAAGTTACACAGGAAGGCTGTCAGTTTAATCCGACAGTGGGTGGATATTAGCATATTCCACCATGTTGCTACAGAGTCGAAAGCCCATACTCTGTGGAACAAAATTGAACAGATGTACCAGAGGAAGACTGCACAGAATAAAGCTTTCGTCATTAAAAAGCTTGTAAATCTAAAATACCGGGATGAAAGATCAGTTGCAGAACACTTGAATGAATTTCAAGACATGGTGAACCAACTTGTTACCATGGAAATGAAACTTGATGAAGAACTGCAGGCGCTGTTACTTTTGAGTTCTTTACCGGATAGCTGGGAGACTCTGGTGGTCTCGTTGAGCAACTCTGCTCCTGTGGGAAAACTGACTTTGACCCAAGTCAAAGACAGTATGTTTAATGAAGAAACAAGAAGAAAAGACTCTGGGGCAAGCAGTTCCCAAGCCCTGGTCACAGAAACCAGGGGGAGAAGTAAAAGCAGAGGCCGGAATAGCAAAGCCATAGATAAATCACAATCTCAACCCAGGAGAAAATTCAATTGTTATCACTGCGGTGAAGAAGGGCATATCAAAAGAAACTGCAAAGCCTGGAAGAACAGAGGTTGGAGAAACAACAAGACAGATAACGATGAAAATACCGCAACTCCTGTGATCAATAGGGAAGTGGTGTTGCTCTCTGTTGAAGAAGAAGAGTGTCATGTTGCTGATTCATGTGTTGAATGGATCATTGACTCAACAGCATCATACCATGCAACCTCTCACAAGGAATTCTTTTCTCTATACAAAGAAGGAGACTTTGGTAGAGTAAAGATAGGCAACAACAGCATAGCAAATATTGTGGGAGTTGGTGACGTGTGCATTCAAACTGATATTGGGTGCACAATAACACTGAAGGACGTATGACATATACCAGACTTACGTCTGAATCTGATCTCTGTGCACGCACTGGATCTAGCAGGCTATACTAACAATTTTGGTAGCGGCACGTGGAGGCTTACCAAAGGATCGTTGTTAGCTGCTAGAGGTACAGTGAGATCGACACTGTACAGAACTCAAGTGAAGCTGATCAAAGGTGGATTGAATGCAGTCGAAGATGATGCTTCGCCAAATTTGTGGCACAAAAGACTGGCTCACATTGGTGAAAAAGGATTACAAATTTTGGCAAGAAAGTCCCTCATCCCATTTGCCAAAGATTCAAAACTGAATCCTTGTGATTATTTTCTCTTTGGGAAGCATCATAGAGTATCTTTCAGCAAGACCTCGAAGCTGAAAGAGAATGTGTTGGAGATGGTGTATTCTGATGTATGTGGACCCATGGAAGTGGAGAGTCTCGGTGGTAGCAGATATTTCGTGACATTTATTGATGATGCTTCACGAAAATTGTGGGTATATTTCTTGAGAACGAAGGGTGAAGTTTTTCAATACTTCAAAAAGTTTCATGCTATGGTGGAGAGACAGGCTGGTAAACATTTGAAGTGTCTTCGCTCAGATAATGGGGGGGAGTATACTTCTCATGAATTCAAGAATTATTGTGCCGAGCATGGCATCAGGCATGAGAAGACTGTACCTGGAACCCCACAACATAATGGTGTGGCTGAAAGAATCAACAAAACCATTATGGAGAAAGTGAGGTGTATGTTAAGAATGGCTAAGCTACCTAAGCCATTCTGGGGTGAAGCTGTTCTAACGGCGTGCTACCTGATCAACCGATCTCCATCTGTTCCTTTGGGCTTTGATATACCTGAGAGAGTATGGTCCGGACATGATGTTAAATACTCTCATTTGAAGGTGTTTGGATGCAAAGCTTTTGCTCACGTAAGTAAGGAACAGAGACGAAAACTTGACGATAAAGCCATTCCTTGTATATTTCTGGGCTATGGAGATGAGGAATTTGGCTACAGATTATGGGATCCAGAAAATCGAAAAATTATCAGAAGCAGAGATGTAGTGTTCTATGAGCAAGAAATTATGTCTGATTCTGCTTTACCAGAAATCAGAGAACCAGGTGGAAAGGTGGATCTTTCACCTATCAAACCTCCTGGAGATGCCACAGCAGGGGGGGAGTGTGATGGAGAACTCAGGGTTGACGATGAGCCAGCAATAGAAGATGGTGATGGTAAAGGTGTTGAGCAGGAAGACCTCGAAGCTCCACCTCAGCTCAGGAGATCAAACCGAGCGATCCAACCATCTACGAGATACCCTAGTTCCACGTATATTACCATCACTGAAGAAGGGGAGCCAGAAAGCTTTGAAGAAGTACAGACTCATAAGGATAAATCCCAGTGGATGAAAGCTATGCAAGAAGAAATGGATTCACTGATGAAAAATGAAACTTATGAGCTTGTGAAGCTTTCGGAAGGCAGAAAAGCCTTGAAAAATAAATGGGTGTTCAAGCTTAAGAAAGATGGTGACAAGCTGTTGAAGTACAAAGCTCGCTTAGTCGTGAAAGGATTTGGACAAAAACGAGGAATAGACTTTTATGAGATATTCTCTCCGGTTGTGAAGATGAGCTCTATTCGAGTAGTACTCGGATTGGTGGCTAGCTTGGATCTGGAGCTTGAACAACTAGATGTGAAGACTGCGTTTCTTCATGGAGACCTAGATGAAGAAATCTACATGGAGCAACCAGAAGGATTTGAGAAGACTGGAAAGGAGCACATGGTCTGCAGATTGAAGAAGAGCCTGTATGGACTGAAACAAGCTCCTAGACAATGGTATAAGAAATTTGACTCGTTTATGGCGAGCCATGGATATACCAAGACTGATGCAGATCATTGTGTGTTCGTTAAGAAATTTCCAGGTGATAAAATCATTATCCTTTTGTTATATGTAGATGATATGTTGATAGTGGGACAAAATATGAAGCTGATTGGTGATTTGAAGAAGGAATTAGCAAAGTCCTTTGAGATGAAGGACTTGGGCCCTGCGAAACAAATTTTGGGCATGCAGATCATGCGAGACCGTAAATCCAAGAGGTTGTGGTTATCGCAAGAACGGTATGTGAATCGGATTCTGGAGAGATTCAACATGAGATCGGCTAAGCCGGTCAATACACCGTTAGCCAATCACTTTAAGCTCAGCAAACGAAGTTGTCCTACAAATCAAGAAGAAAAAGAAGTTATGGCAGGTGTTCCATTCTCCTCAGCAGTCGGGAGTTTGATGTATGCCATGGTCTGTACCAGACCAGATATCGCTCACGCGGTTGGAGTTGTTAGCAGGTATCTTTCCAATCCTGGAAAGGATCATTGGGAAGCTGTGAAGTGGATCTTGAGGTACCTAAAAGGCAGTGCAAATAAGTCCTTGAGATTCGGAAAAGAAAACCCAGTTCTTGAAGGTTATACAGATGCGGATATGGCAGGTGACCTGGATAGTAGAAAATCTACTTCAGGGTTTGTGTTTACATTTGCAGGGGGAGCTGTATCTTGGCAATCTAAATTGCAGAAATCTGTTGCCTTGTCGACTACTGAAGCAGAGTATATTGCAATGACAGAAGCAGGCAAAGAAATGCTTTGGTTGAAATGGTTTCTTCAACAATTGGGAATGAAGCAGAAAAGGTACGATATCCATTGTGATAGTCAGAGCGCATTGGATTTGTGTTTGTCCCGTTTTTGTTTCTCTTTTCGTTGCCATTTTGTGTGTCGTTTCCCCCATTTTAGGTCTTTTCTTAGGTTTTTTTTGGTCCGTCTAGTCTTATCTTATGCCTTTATCTTCATTTTGGGTTATTTTGTTTTTCTGTTGCTTTTTCCCTCCTGTTTTTTCTATTTTCCGTGTTTTTTCCGGTGGTGCGATTTCAGGTGTTGGGTTGATCACGCTCATTCGGATGAAGCGGAGCACATTTCTGTGGGACCAAGCGTGCGAGGATGGAATTCCCAGCTCGGGCAGTACCCGAGCAACGTAGCCGAGCAAGCTGTAGAAAAGAAGGCAAAATCTTGGACAATGGGACCTTAGCGCCGCTAAGGCCTTAGCG